GCAGGTCACACAGATTTTCAGAATGATGATGTATTTTGCAATACATCACCTCCAATCTCATCAAAAGGGTCTTACGTACCATGAGGCTGTCAAACTCAAAGTGGTGGAAACAAGTTTTCTAAAATTCTGATTTTCACTGAAACCTTAAATTTTACCGCTGGCAACAAATATGGTCAGTTGTGCCCCTGAAGTGACAGGTTCACTTTGCTCACTTTGGAGAAAATGTCTGTCCTATAGCCACATCCGAATAACCATAGTTGGTTCACTTGTTCTTTCAAGTGAAGTGTCTATTTTGGGTCACAATCAGCAATGGACTGCAGTGTTCCGAGACAACCATCAGAGATTCTTGCACACTTCCCACCACAGATACTAAAAAGACTGCCAGAGGGTCGAGATACGCGTCACGGATATTCTTAAATAAAGCCGGCAGTGCACTACCACAAGCGTGTGCTGAAGCTACAGTGACCACCAGGACGTCTGGGCCACAGCAATTTTACCCCCAAAGCTTCGGTACAAAATGTCAACGCGGTGAGAACGGAAAACCACGCGTCACTGTGAAGAAGCTGCCACGTCATGACCCCCCAGAGGACCCGGGGTCACACTTCAAGAACTGCTGACCTAGGTTATGGCTTATATGAAGGCCTAAGTTCTGCTCTGAAACTCAAGAAAACGCTTCCCAAATTTTCCTTTAAAGCAAAATTAGTGGACAAAACCAGCTGGAAGGCAGGGTCAAGGAGAGGCCTCACCTCATGTGCGCAGCGCTCCTCTGCAGGATGGCCCCCACGTTTGCGTTCTGAGCCTCAGAGACAGTCGTCCTCCAGAACACGCGGCAGGTGGAGAAGTCTGAAGTCAGAGAGACCTGAGCCCAGCCCCAATTACTCTCAGCTCACCTGGGCTCCTGGAGACAGAGCGCGCCAGGAGAGGCGCACTAACTCACGGGCAGTCCTGGTTTCAGGCTCCCGCTGCCAGGGCCAGTGCCCCAAGCACACCGCTGGGGACGGGGTAAACGTCCCCTCCCCCGGGCGGAGCCCAGCCTCACCCCACGCACAGCAACGCCTCAGCTGCTGCTACTGCCCCTCCTCCTTTCCCTCTGGCTGCACGCACTCTGCTCTGGGGGCACAGATGGCAGAAGCCGCCTCCCTTGTCTTTACACCAAGATGAAGGCAGATCATCCACCGCTCACCTGACCCCCAGACCTTCAGACGCCCCACTTCATCACCCTCGGTGCTCTCTGGCCAAACACCACCCCTGCATAGCGAGACACCCGCTTTTGCACCCCACAAGCACCTTCCTCTCCTTAATACCCAGACGGCCACACTGAGCATCCCTTCCACCTTTTCTAACTGTCAGGCGACGACAGAGGCGCGAGGCCCGCAGTCCCTGCCTGGCCCCGAGGCCTACCTTGGAGAGCTCCACGTTCAAGTCGCAGAGCTCCTGGCTCACTTCCGGGGTGCACAGCAACTCAGTCAGTGCTTTGTAGAGGAGGCCGTTCAGGGCCCTCAGGCGCACGTGGTCTTCCCTCCTGGCTCTCTTGGAGGTGCTCTTTGTCAGGGATGCCAACTGAGATGGCTTGTGAGTCTCCGTTAAGAAGAAGGCAGACACACAGGCAACGTTACAACTGTACATAAACTTGTACTAACTGCTGATAAAGGTCATTCTCGGCCATCTTAGTTTTCATGAAGATACAGTTTCTTTTACAGACCAGGACCCTTCTAGATTTTACCTACCATCCCTTAAAGATCAAGAGTACTGCCAAGCATATATTTTTTTCCAAAAAAAATTTTATTGAAATATAATCCACATAACATAAAATTCTCCCTCTTAAAAAGTACAATTCTAGGGGCTTCCCTAGTGGCGCAGTGGTTAGGAGTCCGCCTGCCGATGCAGGGGACACGGGTTCATGCCCCGGTCCAGGAAGATCCCACGTGCCGTGGAGCGGCTGGGCTGGTGAGCCATGGCCGCTGAGCCTGCGCATCCAGAGCCTGTGCTCCGCAACGGGAGAGGCCACAGCAGCGAGAGGCCCGCGTACCGCAACAACAACAAAAAAAGATACAATTCGGTCGTTTCTAGTATATGCAGTGTATTTTTTTCTATCAAGAACCATTCATTACATAAACTCTCACAGTACAGGTATATTTCAGAGATATGCAGGTTCATTCCAGACCATCGTAATAAAGCAAATATCACAATAAAGTGAGTCACACACATTTTTTGGTTTCTCAGTGCATATAAAAGTTATGTTTACACTACACTGTAGTCTATTAAAGTGTGCAATAGCAATATGTCTAAAAACAATATACATACCTTAATTAAAAATATTGCTAAAAAATGCTAACATCACCTGCTAATGCAGGGTTGCCATAAACCTTCTATTTGTTAAAAACATGGTATCTAGGAAATGCAATAAAACAAGGTATGCCTGTGTATCTACACATATCTGTGTTATACACACACACATACACACACAAACTGAATAGACATTACCATATTAGAATTTGATGACAGATACGACATCCCGTAAATTTTGTTTTCTTTTTTCTCCGGCCGCACTGTGCGGCATGTGGGATCTTAGCTCCCCAACCAGGGATCGAACCCACGCCCCCTGCAGCCGAAGTGCAGAGTCTTAACCACTGGACTGCCAGGAAGTCCCCTAGTGTAATTTTCTTTTAAAGGTAAAAATTCTGTGCTTCCCGTGTATCTAGTCCCAGCTCTACAGACCTTGACCCCTCTAATATTGAAATGGAATGGCTGGAGAGCTGCCGACTTTTGGAGCCTCACACCCACCGAGATTCTCAACTGGCTCACCGCTACTGCTCTATACTTACCAAGTGGGAGCCCAAGGACGGGCCCTCAGGCCAAAACTTCTTCCTATGGGGAGAAAATAAGAACTATGCTGGGTACTGACGGCAAATCAAGGGAGAAACAGTTACAAAAGCTAACGCCATAACTGCTTCTAAGGGGCTAGCCCTGGACATAGAAATTAGGTTACTAGGGGCCTAAAAGATCTAGATACCCAATGAACAGCAGCACGGGCTGTGGGGACAGACAGACAACAGTTTCAGTTCAAGCTCGTAACTTTTACCTAAAGTCTACCTCTAGTCCCAAAGGTAGAGAACGGGGACCTTAAAAACACACCTACCCAACTGCACATGAGCACTGTCCTCTACTGAATAAAGCTGTTTCCAGGGGAGGGTTAACGACTTATACCGCCACACATCAACTGGGACTGAACAGCTAAGTAAACGGAAGGCAGATGGGGGATCCAGGCCCCTCGCTGTTGCAGACAAGCAAGGGAAGGAAGTGAGAATGATTCGTGTGCTAGTGGATTAGGGCTGGAGATCAGTACAAACTCAAGTTTCACTTATTACGGCTACAGGTGGTGACACACAGAAACGTTTCTACATAAGCACAGACACAGGGATTAACATAAACACTATTTTTTTTTGCTTTGCCAGCTGAAAGGGTCTAAAAGATAGACACCGCAGTAGCAATAAACATACTAAGCTCTCAGATCATGGTTTCTGACGCCTGTTTCCAATAAAGGAACCAGAGCTCCTTGGAGAAATGGCTGATTCTAGGGCCGAGGCATCCTGTGGTGCCAGAAAGCAAGGAAGTGCTAAAAAAAAAAAAAAAAAAAAAATTTATAATTAAAAAATCACACTTGACCTACTGAATACATTTATTATCAATATGATTGAGCCTAAATGGATTTATTAGCTTAAAGATACCTCTATAGGTAGTGTGACATTTTAAAAAGATTCTTACTTTTATCACTTCCTCGATTTCCAGATTTCTAGAGTGAGCATATATTAGTTTCATAAACAGAGATAAGGGGAACAGGAGGTTACATTTAATTCCACCACTTCAAGACAACCAATTAGTTTAGTATTTTATCTCAATTTAGTTTTCATGTGTATTGATGGACCCATAATTTAATTCTTTCTCTGCTGTGGGCAATTCTACAGTCTTCAATGTTTTGTTATTACAAACAGCCCTGTGAAGTCTGGATTTCAGATTATTTCCCTCAACTATATTCCTTGATGTAGAAATCCATGGCAAAAAAAAAAAAAAAAAAAAAAAGTTTCTAATTTAAAAGCTACTTCAAAAGCCCGTAACAAAGGGGAGTGTCAAAGGGATACCGGAGCCACCTGCAAGAGCTCCCAACGCTCAAAGCTGGGACTGCAGCAAAATTAAGTAGTACTGGATTATAACCTGTGAGCCCACCCTGATGAGTTACTAAAATGAAGAGACACATCTCCCCTGCAAAATTTCGATAATTCATGAATTTCGAATAATTCGCCACTCCTTAGGTGTGAGCTGCATACGGTGACTTACCCCCCAAAGAAGACAGTATGGAATTGGGGGGTTGGGCAGTAACTTTACAGTGGATACACCTGACAGACACAGATGACCTCAGTCAGTCATCAAGACCAACATCAACAGTGATACACCATGGTGATAGCATGTGTGTGTTCACAGGATGTGATGAAAATGGCACTTTACACCTGTGGTCTTCCTCCCCCAAACCAAACCCCGGTATACTCAAGAGAAAAACATCACGCCCATCCCAACAAAAGGGCATCCTACAAAATATCTAACCAGTACTCTTCAAGCTGTCGAGGTCATCAAAACAGGGACAGTTTGAGAAACTGCCACAGTCAAGAGGAGCCTAAAAAGATGATGACTAAATGTAATGTGGTCCCTGGATGGGATACTGGAACAGAAAAAAGACGTTAGAGAAAAACTAAGGAAACGTGAATAAGGCATGGCCTTTAGTTAATAATAATGTATCAATGCTGGTTCATCAATTGTAACAAATGTGCTGCACTAACATAAGAGGTTAATAGAAGGGAAACTGAGTGTGCTTATATGGGAACTCTACTCATCTTTGCCAGTTTTTCTGTAAACCTTAAACCTTTAAAAAAATGTATTAAAAACATACATATATACATATCTACAACTGAATTAAAATGATATGAAACCAACATATTTTATTATACTTACCTCTCATCATAAAAAACCTATCTTGACAAGCTTTATTCCTCAAATTAACCCCACAGAGAAAGCACTAATATGGAAAGGAAATTCTTCCTTCTCTCTTTATATGATGCAACTACTCTCCCGAAAAACGCTTCTAGTAACAAGAATCATCATCCTTCAGCATCTGTAGGGAATTGGTTCCAAGACCCCAAAGATACCAAAATTGAAGGATGCTCAACGCGCTGTATTTGCATATAACCTCCGCACATCCTCCCGGATACATTAAATCATCTCTAGGTTACTTAATGCTACGTAAATAGTTGCCAGCAAGGCAAGTTCAGGTTTTATGTTTTAGAACTTTCTGGAGTTTTTTCGGAACATTTTCAATCCAAGGTTGGTTGAATCCGAGGAATGGGAACCTCGGACCCAGAATGGACTGTAAATGTATACATCACTTTGCTTCATAAATTCATGATGCACTCTTAGCTTTTAGGAGACTTAGAACTTTACCGTCACAGCTGTGTAAAAGAACAGAAAAAAGGCTGGGTGGGAAAAACGTTAACTGTCAGAGGTGGGCTCCCTGGTGAGCTTTCAACAGCCATTAACCTAACAGGCAGAGGCTGCGCTTACTGACGCGGCTGGGAGCTCGGGCGCCGGCCAATGCGCCGGTGGTGGAACCCCTGCGGACCCCTCGCCCCGCCGAGCGCCCTGCCCGCCGAGCCCCCAGCCCGCGGAGCCTCCCGCTCCACGGAGCACCCCGCCCGCGGACGCCCCGCCCCGCCGAGCCCCCGCCCCGCCGAGCCCCCCACCCGCGG